AAAAATGAAAACGTTTTTCCGTGATTCTTCTCCATCTAAGAAATCGAAAGCAGGCGACCGTGTGTTGTGGAGTAAACGGGCTTTCAAACACGTGATGAAAGGAAACAATCTACAGAGGCTTCACCATACTAATGAACACTCAGGAAAACTCAAGAAAATTTCGGACCTTCGTCAAATTACATTGTTCGCCACCGCGCCGACAACGCCTGTCCGCGAAAGCCACCAGAGACGCGGAGGGGCGCAAAACGACCTGTTCCGGCTGGTTCCCGGTTTTCCCGCTTGGTGGCGTCCATTTTGCTGGAGTCGCGAATACCGTTTGTAACGGACGGTAGTTCGCGTCACCTGGCCTACGTCTAAAAAAACAAACATAGGTCCTCCCGCTCTTCTAAGCCAATTTTCTCCCCCTAACTATTACCAGACAGTGTGGGATATCACCTGGGGTGCTATTCTGGTCACAAACGGTCACGTTCGTGTTTCTCGAAAACTTCTCCCCCTACGAACTGCGCGCTCCTATTAGCCACAGCGCGCATGATAATTCCACGCGGTTCCCATGGCAACGTTCGCGAAACACGAAAGCAACCGTTTGCCGTAACTGTCGCTCTTCGAGTACGGACCGTGACGACAAAGTGCGGGTGTAGGAGCTACCAGAACGTGCTCCGGGCTTTCAACGTCCCTGTAGAGCAGGCGCGCCTGCGCACTGCAAGCCAACGTTCGTGCAAGCATCGTTCAGGGTGATGTGCTCGTGCTTTTAACTTCTGTCTCTATTGCACGAAGGGGAAGAAGCTTTGGGCAAGATTCTAGAGCGTAGAAAATGGCGGTGATGCTTGTTGCTCAACGATGGCTCGACCAATGCGTACAATGACGGGTTTTCCGTGAGCACCCGGTAGCCTTCGCGATGCACGACGACTGTTTCTGACGACAATACCGCTTGTCGAAAAGCACCATGTGATTGCAGTGTGACCAGCTGCGCAACGAGAGACGGCGGCGATGAGAGATGATGACCGTCGAACAGCAGCTACTAATTGAATCGCATTGAGATTTTTTGCAGTGGGGAGGGAGGAAGACGAAGTGTCTCTAAGAAGGTTGCACTTTTCTAGCCTCGTTCGGTTGAAACCGAATATTTATTGTTATCAGCTGCCTTAATAGCCAGAAATTGAATCAGCATTGAAGAACGCTTATCAGGTCATCAACTGGCGGGTATTCCCGCACTGGGTCATTCCCAGTGCAAGTGAATCGACCTCGCCATGTCCCTCAAGTCATCTTCACTGCATTCGAATCACAAGGCCACCACCGAAAGGTACAGTATGCCTTCCTCCATATGCGGTGACTCACTATCCGCATCAGAAGCTGATAACAACAGCCTGACTGGAAATCCTGCTGTGGGTCCCACTCTAGAGGATCGGGGTGCTACCACATCCCAGCGGCGGGTGATAATTCCCCCTAATGACATGGAAATGTCCGACATCGATGACGAAGGCTGGACCCCAGCTAAGACATCAAGAAAGCGGAAAAAACCTAGCTCGAATTCAAGCAACAGCACGGGCACAATCCGCACAGGCACCCTAATGACAGAAGGTCTTACGGTTATCTTTGTACCAGCTGCCGAAGACACTCTAATTACGTCATTGAGCAGTCTAAAAGTATCCGATGCTCTGAACTTACTCTGCCCAGAGTGCATCATAGAAATAAGGTACAACAGACGGCTGAACCTCATAGCAGTCGATACAAGGAATGGACAGACGACGCGTGCTCTTCTAGACTGCAAGAAGCTATGTGGGATTCCAGTAAGAGCTTACGAACCACTACCTCGGCATTACGCTGTAGGCGTAATCACAGAAGTGGACACCGCGCTGTCCGAAGCAGATGTCTGGGAGCATTTAAGATCTCCGGAAAATAGGGTATTAAGACTTCGGCGACTTGGGTAGAGCTCAGCAATGAAGATCTCCTTCTGCGGTACAGCACTACCAAATTTTGTCTATCTTGGCCTTGTGCGTCATCCCGTGACCCTGTTCAAAGAGCGCCCTATACAGTGCCGCAAATGCTGTCGCTACGGGCATCGCGAGGCATCCTGCAAAAACGCTCCTGTCAGCGACCGTTGCAGTGGCACTCATCCAGATACAGAATCCTGTACCGCACAAGAGAAGTGTGTAAACTGTGGTGAAGCCCATTCTGCCAAATCTCCATCTTGCCCAAAATGGAGGAAAGAAAGGAAAACTCGCAACTATGCTAGACATCACGCGGTCGACTTTCGCACCGCCAAAGTCGCCTTACAAGAGCCGAACGCTCCGAACCCAACAAAGGGCAGCGATGAGTTTCCTCCACTTCCCCAGATGTCTGCGGCCGGGGAAACCGGGAAGCAGGGACAGAACCAAGACACATACGCTTCTATTTCAAAGGGACAGGGAAAAGGCAAGCCAAGGGCAGGCATTACCAACAATGGGCAGAATTCAGACGAAAGACCACAAGAAACCACTACTGAGGCCACAGTGTCTGAAGGTGCCAACCACCAACGTTCTTCGGAGAGGTCCCGTCCACCACCACCAAGAACAACACCACCAAGCCAGGGTTGGATTCCTCTTCTTAAGGCAGCAACTAACATGGCTTGCACGCTGCTAGCAACAGTGAATTCGGAATGGTCACGTTGGATACTTACATTTCTTCAAATGATACTTCCACTTGTGACATCACTGTGAAACCGGGAGGGAACCAGTGCAGCAAGCAACTTACGTGCGTTCGTCACCAAAAACATTCATTCATACCTGAGAGGAATATAAATAACCTTCAAACTCGTTTCCCTGAGCTCTTACAGGCGAGACGGAGTGCAGTGATACAAAAATCTAACATTTTTCCTCTAGAGGTACAGATATTTTCTTATTTCTTCTACTACAACAATGAAGCCCGACCCAAAGACCAATCTCGGGTATCAATCATTCTAAGAGAAAGCTTTAACTACCAATCCACAGACATCCACGATTGGGGACACTACTAGAAGACCTACAGCCCGCCCCCAGCCTCGCACCTGTTCCGCCCTCCAGTGAATCTGTAACGGCTTGAGAACGAGACTCCCAGAGCTTCGCGACCACGTTTTACACTACGCCTACAATGCTGTGGCCCTCCAGGAACCCAGAATGCCAGCCGGCAGCATACGCATTGCGGGTCACGTAGTTTACTGCAGCAGGCCTCTGGTGGCGGGCGTGACACCGCGAGCAGCCCTCCTAGTTCGACGAAACCTACGACAGATAGAGATAGACCTCAGCGATCTTTGCAGTGAAGGAGCAGATTTTGTGGCAGTAAAATTGGAATTTGGAGACCGTTACCTGACCATCGTCTCGGCGTACGTGGCCCCTAATGTACCTTGGGACGTCCATGTACTCGCGGACATTCGCGCACGGGCCAAGGGAGAGGTTATAATTGCCGGCGACTTCAATGCCCATTCACAGTCCTGGGGGGACAGAAAGGACTCTCGGCGAGGTCGAGAGCTGCAGGCAATGCTAGATAGGCTCGACCTCAGAAATATTACAAGTGGGAACCCGACATTTGTACGGCCTGGAGTGACGGGAAGCGTAATTGTTCTGACTTTCACGACTTGGGCCCTACGTCTCAATGCAACTCCTCAGGCAGACAGCTGGGGAAGTGATCATCTACCCATTGTCATCGGAAGGCCGCCAAAAGCTCCTCCGAAGACTTGCCACGTCGTCGACTGGGATCGCTTCCGTACCCTGCTCGAAGAAGCGCTGGAAGGACGATCCTTCACCCCGGAAACGCTCTCCCGCGTCCTCCAATGGGTCACCCACGAAGTCAGAGTGCCAGCAACACGTCCCAACCCCGACCACAAATGGCTAGAACTGCGGGCAAAAAGACGTCGCGCCCAGCGACGGTCATGGGCCACTGGAGATCCGGCAGATGTACTGGTACTACCAGATGTTCTACCAGATGTACTACCAGGTGTACTGGAGATCCGGCGACTGGATGCCAAGTTCAGGAGGCACGGTAAAAAACTAGCACGCCGACAATGGCGCCTCAAATGCACCACCTTAGACAAACCAGCCGGAGGAAGCCGGGCCTGGCGGATGGCGAGAACACTGGCAGGTAGCCCAATCTCCCAAAACCCTGTTCTTGGAATGGCCGTGGCAATGAACCTTCAATCAACAGAGATGGCCGAACTACTCGCGGATGCATTTACTGAGGTTCCACGACTGCCGGCTGCCAGCCCGCCCCCCCAGGGTTGGAGCAAGTTCCGTCACCCAACAGCGACCCCCATGCAGCAGCCAGACGAAGACTTCACCCTGCACGAACTGCAGCACGTTCTCGATGCTCTCCCGAGACACCGTGCGGCCCCAGGCCCAGACGGAATCACCAACCAAGCATTGAGAAACGTTAACGAGTCGGCTGTCCCAGCAATGCTGACTCTAATCAATCATGTGTGGAGGACCTCTAAAATACCAGAAGCCTAAAGAGAAGCAACCACGGTACCACTACTCAAACCCGGGAAACCCCAAGACCAACTCAGCTCCTATAGGCCCATCTCATTGACATCATGCCTCGGCAAAGTGATGTAACGAATGGTGCTACGTCGCCTAGTCTACCACCTTGAGGCGGCCGGGGCTCTGCCAGACTGCTTCTCGGGGCTCCGCCACCACAGGAACACCGCGGACGCAATTGGTGACATCACCAGCTCGCTGGACGAGGCCAAAGCACAAGGTTGGTCGGCGATGACCGTTTTCCTAGACGTCCGCAAAGCCTTCGACGCCCTCCCGCACCGAATCATCATCTCAGCTCTGCGTCGTTTCGGGGTATGTGGACGACCTCTTAACTACATTTGCGCATTCCTCACTGAACGCACCATGTGCGTAAAGGCCGGCGGAGCGCTGAGCAAGCCCCGACGAGTCGACCATGGCGTTCCCCAAGGGAGCGTGGTCAGTCCGCTCCTGTTTGCACTGGCGGTTGCATCACTCCCAGCCGCAGCAAGAGTAGGCGAGGAACCAGCACTCCCGATAAGCATGGCTGTCTATGCGGACGACGTGGTGCTCTGGTCCACGGCCCCAGGCTACCCTAGGCAACGGATGGCACGCGCCCTCCAGAGAGCACTTACAAACACTGTGTACCACTTGCATCAACTGGGTCTGACAACATCGGCAGAAAAGACTGTTGCTCTATGCTACGCGCCAAGGAGACCCTCAAAGTTCCAACCGACCCTGTTCATCGGAGATGTCCCGGTGAGAGTGGAGAAGACAGTCACGTACCTAGGACTCACCTTGGACTGGAGGCTATCCTGGGGCCCAGCAACGCAGGTGGTGCTCCAGAGGATGCGAACGCACACAAATATCCTCCGCGCGCTTGGTGGAACTACCTGGGGCACATCACAACAAATGCTACTACAGCTATACAAGGGTCTCATTCTGGCTCGCCCACTCTACGCCTTACCGCTCATTCGACTGAGCGGCAATCAGATCGAGAACCTAGAGAGAGCGCAACGCGTAACTCTAAGAATTTGCATCGGAGTTCCCCGTTCGGCATCGTCACGACACACTCTTACCGAAGCAGGTATGAATACCGTTGAAAACCTTCTGCAAGAACGAGCGCTCGGACATCTCATCCGAAAGAGCAACTGCGACTCTACCATCACGCTCTTGATAGGCATCGCCGAACGTACAGCTTCGGAACTGGGAGCGCAGCTCTGCACTTTAAATGACATCGCGGGTACACCATGACCGCTAGCGCCACTTCCAACACTACACACAGATCCTCACCCTCTGAGGGTTAGTATCAGCATACCAGGGCTGCGGACCAAGAAGAGCGCAGCAGTGGTAACCGCTCAGCAGCTGACGGAAAGTCACTTGGATGCGGAGTACGATGGGCGGACACGCGTTTTTACCGACGGGTCGGTAGACCCATCTGGAGGCACAGCAACAGCAGCGGCCTTCTTTGAGGCTGCAGCCGTAGGTATACACGAGCGCCTGTCCCATCAGGCATCCTCTACTACCGCGGAGCTGGCGGCCATACGACTTGCCCTCTGGGGAATTCGGACAGGCTGCGCCTCTGGGCTCAGCCTGTCCGCTCTTGAGTCCAGAGGCTGCGCCTCTGGACTCAAGAGCGGCTCTCGGGCTACTATCGGGGCTAGAAAGGGCTACGCCTCTGGCGCGGTCAGTCGCACAAGATGCAGCCGATCTCCGGGAGAAAGGCCACGAGATTATCTTCCAGTGGATCCCCAGTTGTGGTATCAGGGGAAACGAAGTCGCCGATTCCCTAGCAGCGCAGGCTCACAAAGACCCCGGATGTCCGCTTTCTACAGTTCCCCGTTTCTCAGACGCCAAGCTTCTGGTGAGACGAACCATCACACGACAGAATCCGGACCCGAGAGTGGCGGACGGCACGTTCTCAGCCCGTCTCCCACGAGGGTTGGATCGTCACACTGCTGCGGTGCTCCACCGTCTGCGGACCGGAAGCGCTTTCACGCCAGCGTGGATAGGCCGCTTCAGGCTTGATCTCAACCCCAAATGCCAAACCTGCCAGGAAACTGCTGACGCCGAGCACCTCCTCCTCTACTGCACCGACTACAATGACGAGCGTACTGCCCTCAGCCGGAGTACCGTGCCACGTGTTATATCACGAGTACTGCCGACCTTCGCCATCCGACAAGGTGTACTCTACAAAGAGAACTTCGGCGACAACAACACACCGTGGTTGCTGGTAATCCCGAGTGACCTACGAGAGGAGATCTTCCAAGCCTGCCACGACGACCCGACATCCGGACACCTTGGTTACAGCCGGACACTGGCCCGCATTCGTGAAAAGTATTACTGGCCGAAGCTCCCCAAGACCGTCCACCTATACACACGATCATGCCACGAGTGCCAGCGACGCAAGAAACCGCCGACGAGGCCGGCCGGACTTCTGCAGCCCATTTCTCCTCCAACTACACCCTTCCAGCATATCGGAATGGATCTACTTGGTCCTTTTCCGCCTTCGACATCGGGGAACCGCTGGATCATCGTCGCCACAGATTATCTCACGCGGTACGCCGAAACGAAAGCTCTTCCTTCAGGGACTGCTGTGGAAGTCGCCAAGTTTTTCATCGAGTCCATCGTCCTCCGGCACGGCGCACCCGAAGCTCTGATTACAGATCGCGGATCTTCGTTCATGGCCCAGCTGACGCAAGAGATCCTTCGTCTCAGTGGCACCGGCCATCGTTGAACCACTGCATACCACCCGCAGACCAACGGGCTGACCGAACGACTCTCAACAAGACAATCGCCGATATGATCTCTATGTACGTCGACGTAGAGCACAAGACGTGGGACGAGGTGTTGCCCTACGTCACGTTTGCCTACAATACGGCGGTTCAGGAGACCACTGGATTCACCCCTTTCCAGCTGGTACATGGTCGGAAGGTAACGACCATGCTGGACGCAATGCTGCCCCATGAGCCATCTGACAATGAGAGCGACGACGCCCAGGCGGTTGCTCAACGTGCCGAAGAAGTCCGCCAGCTCGCCCGACTCATGATTCAAGACCAGCAACGCGTCGACGCGGGCCGCTACAACCTTCGTCGCAGGGACGCCCTGCTGGAAATGGGCGATGTGAAATGAGGCCAAAATTCACATTGAACCAATGTGCAACTGTAGGTCCAGACACATTGAGCAATATGCATTTATGAAACAAAAACCTAGGTGCACCAATTGGTAATCCTTTAGGGAATTCACATTGGGCTGAATTGGTAATCCTTTAGGTAATTCACATTGGGCTGATTGCATATATGAAACAAAAACCAATGAGCAGCAATTGGCAACAGGTACCCCAGTGCACATTGCATTGAGGGCATTTATGGGGCAAAAACCAATGAGCAGCAATTGGCAACAGGTGCTCCTGTGCACATTGGGTCGATGGTATTTATGGGGCAAAAACTAATGAGCGGCTATTGGCAACAGGCCCCCCTGTGCACATTGGATTGATGGTATTTATGGGGCGAAAACCAATAAGCGGCAATTGACGACAGGCACCCCTGTGCACATTGGGTTGATGGCGTTTAGGAAGCGAAAACCAATGAGCGGCAATTGACAACAGGTGCCCCGGTGCACATTGGTTTGATGGTACCCAGTCAACCAGCAACCGTCTATTAAACATCAGAGAGATGTGTTGTTCGGACATTTAACATATCCAGTGGATATCTGCTACGATTCATCCAACATTGAAAGTATCTACTGCGCAGTGCAAAATGGTTCCCCAGAAAACGTACCACTAACGCAATCTGGTTGATGCGGATGGACATTCAGGACCATTGTAGGATGTTCAGCCTGATCCTGTGGATGTACCATGTACATACCTCAGAAATATTACCTTTCCTGGTATAGCGACCAGCCCTATGCCAAGAGGGCAAGGAAGTGCCTAAGCAGCCTTCATTTTATGCTAGCATATAGCATGTAAACTGTCCTACAGAAAAATTTAAACGGATAAGGGTCCAATTATTTACAAAACAAGAGCTCAGAGGGCAGATTTGCTGTATGGCCCGTGCATGCTCTCAATGTATACCCAAATGGCGCATTACAGATGTATAATGTAGCAACCAGGCCCGCAGCAGACATTCTTTATATTGAAGTTTTTTTTTCACCATCAAGCTCAGAAGTTTTACCACAGGATCAATGCAGACTACACTGACAAGGAAGGCGACACTACTGATGCTGACTCGTTTTAGTGAGGTGGACCTCGCCGCATGCGAGAGAACTGAAATACTGGACACAAACATTGTCGTAAGCTATGACGAACGGCCCTGAGGAATTGACTACTGAAGTCTAAGGCTTCAGTAGTCATATGCTCTAGTGACAAGGATACCAGAATTCCATGAGAGCTGTAGCACCGACTGCATGGCAAAAGATGCCGCTGCAGTCTTGCAGCGTAACTTTGAACGTGAGTAGCGCACTAAATTCCTGCCCAGCCTGTCAGGCATGCACATCCGTTCTGTGGAAAAAGTTGCAGTGCCAAACAAATCGCCATTAACTCTTTATTGTTACTGTTAGACAGACGAGCAGTGCTTGATGCTTTTAAAATAAAGTATAATTTTTGAACAATGCTGCATAGACAGCATGAGGTTTTCAAAATGAAGTATACTTACTGAACAATGCAGGATACTTTGCTTAAAAAAAATGTCTGATGAACATAATAAAAAGCTCAGCACATTAAAGGCCCACTTAAGGCAGTTCACATCTCTCTCTCCTGTGGTGCAAAATGTTCCTGAAAAGCAACGAAAAAATGTTACGTTAAAGATATGTGAGCAGTGGTTTACCATTCTTTGAAACAAAACTAATAAAACAGTGAAGTTCAAAGTGAAGTGACTCAAATATGCAAGAATTGGAACTGATGTAAATAAATCACAAGTATTTTATGCCTTGTTTTTAAAGCACATTCATGCTGGATATGTGTACTGTATTGCCAACTTTTGTTTGTTAGATTTACATCAAATGTCAGTGTTCTTAAAATTCGTTGTCTATGAATTCTTTTTAATCCATAATAAGGTACTATTACATAATGAAATTTTTCCTCTTAGAGAAACACTCCAAACAAAAATTTTTTTAAAATTATTCAATACTGTTCACACCTGTAGTATTTGCTCTCAAATTAAACCAAAAAAGGTGTCACTGGCTTTAATATTTAAAGCATTCAAATACTCTCATATAGAAATTCTGCTTTGAAGAAATTGCACACCATACTTACTGTTCTAGAAAAGTTTGATTTTTGTGCTAACATCAGCTTAAGACCAGCTTACCATTTGAGATGACTGATGTCAGGCAGGTGCGTGGCGAAGTTAATCTGTGACCATGGTTTCTACCTTGAAGTCTTCACATTTATGGCAGCTCTGCACTGCATCTGATAAAAGAAAGCAACAGAAGTATGACACCAACAATTCCATAAATCTGGTTCCATATGAAGCGATCTGCACTACTGTTCCAGAGATTACTTACTTATGATGCACTCAGCAAGGTGAAGGTTCCTGAATGTCAACTTTCTCTTACGTCCTTCCCACACAAATTTTCGCCCCAACTGGTCAGTCAGCTACCACTTTGTGATCTGTCTCGTACAGGAAGCATAACCAGATCCGCAGACTTTGCTGAGCTGTCGAACATAAAAAAACATCCACATAGCAACCGCTTAGTGCAATCATAACAATTGATTGGATGTTTCTGTTTATTTTTAGTCAACCTTGGCAGGTGTTTATCGGCATCCATTTCTTCATTAAATGTGCTGCAAAATTATTCCAAAAGCCGGGAATCATAATGATAAAAAACTGCATTGACTTTACTCAACAAGATTAACAATTTAATCAAACGTTTCGTCTCCCATGTGGGAAACATCGTCGGTGAAACCTTGAAGCAGGAATGAGCGAAAGAAACTTCAACAGTCCTATTTAAGCAAGTCCGCATACACATTGAGGAGGGGCCGCAGCTGGAGTTACAAGCTGATGAGTCACTTCGGATGAACCATGATTCTACAAACCTGCTCGGACCCCACCTTTGTTCACGCGCCAGAGTGGACGCATTCTCAAAGTCGAAACTGTGTCCCGTATTCCAACAATGGTCTACGAGTTCCGTCTTCGCTCTTGTTGCATGCGTGGCCTTTGCCATGTCCCTTTTGTGACTTTCATTTAGCTTTAAACAGCATTGAATCATCAATCCAATTCACACATGAAGTTGAACAGAACGGTGCAAAGCCTTTTCTG